TCGATTACTAATGCAGGGGTGTTGAAAACTCCAACTACAACAGTGAATTTGTGTTGACTTCTTGCAATTTTAACTGTTTTTGCCTAATGTATTGACACTCTGCTGTGATGTGCATAGGTCTTACCTCTTATCGTCATGTCTTCCTGGAGAGTCAACTTCTTTATCATTATGTTATGCCTCTCTTTGTTCCTGATAATTTCCTTGTTCTGAAGTCTTTGTCTGAAATTAAAATAGCTATTCCTAGCTTCATTTTGATTAGTGCTAGCATGATATATCTTTCTCCATCCATTTTAATCTGTGTCTTTATAATTAAAGTAGGTTTCCTGTAAACAGCACGTATCTGGGTTCTGTATTTTATTTGCTCTATCTTTTAATTGGTGTATTTAAGTCACTCACATTTAAAATGATCATTGATAAAGCTGGATAAATATTTACCATATGTTGTTCCCTATTTGTTGTCCAGTTCTTTGTTTCTTTTGTCTTCACCTTTTTTTTTTCCTCTACTTCCTCTGGTTTCAATTAAGCATGATTCCACTTTCTCTTCTCTCTTGGCATATCAACTACACTTCTTTTTATCATTTTTTAAGGAATTTCCCTCGAGTTTAGAGTATACATTTGCAACCAATCTAAATCCACTTTCAAATAACACCATACCTCTTCACAGACAGTGCAAGTACTTGATAGTAGACTATTCCCCGTTCTGTTCTCCTGTCCCTTCTGATATTGCTGTCATTTATTTCATTTATGCTATAAGTTATATAACCATATAATCTATAGCCATCTAATACATTGTTGCTATTATTATTTTGAAGCTATCTATTAGATCAATTAAGAATGAAAAAGAAAAGATCTTACTTTGCCTCCATTTATTGTTTTTCTAAAGTTCTTCGTTTCTTCATCTTGATCCAACTTTCTGAACTACATTCATTTCCTTCTCTATGAAAAACTTCTTTTAACCCTTCTTCCAAGATAGGTCTATTGGTTAAAAAAGAAAAAAAAAACACCCAGTTTTTGTCTGAGAAAGTCTTCATTTTCTCTTCGCTTTTAAAAGAATAGTTATACTTGATTCAGATGTCTAGAATGGTGGACTTTTCTTTCAATATGAAGTATTTCATATAGTCTCTTCTTGCTTGCATGGTTTCTGAAGAAAAGTCTGATAAAATTTGAATCCTTGCTCCTCCATAGATAAAGTGCATTTTGCCCACCTCTGGTTCTTTCACTATTTTTAGTTTGTCTGATTTTCTGCTATTTGAATAGGATATGCCCACATGTCGATATTTTCTGTTTTTATCCTGTTTAGTGTTTGAGCTTCCTGGATCTGTGATCTGATATCATTTGTCATTAATTTTGAAGAAATCTCAGCCATTATTACCTCAGATACTTTTCTTCCTTTCTCTTTTTCCTTCTGTTGTTCTCACTACCTTTATGTTACACTTTTTCTCCCCATAGGTTTTAGATATTCTGTTGTGTTTTTTCAATTGTTTTCTTTATATTTACATTTGCAAAGTTTCTATTGACATATCTTCAAGATCACTGATTATTTCTCAGCTATAAAAAAAAGCATTCTTCATTTCAGTTGCAGTGTTTTGTTTTCTAACATTTTCTTTTGATTCTTAAAGTTTTTGTCTCTCACGTAATAAATCATTTTTTCTTGTATGTTAATTTTTTCTAATAGAGTTCTTAGCATATTAATTTTTTTCCAATAGAGCTCTTAGCATATTAATAATAAGCATTTTAAATCCAAAGTCTGATAATTCCAAAACCATATCTGACTCTGGTTCTGAGGCTTGCTTTATCTCTTTAGACTGTGTTTGTTCTTGCCTTTTATTATGCCTTGTAATTTTTTTTACAAGCCAGATATTATGTGTCAAATAATAGGCACTGTTGTAAACAGGCCTTCAGTGTGAGATTTTCTTTTTATCTCACCAGAACTTAGGCTGTGTTTAATATTTGCTATAGCTGTAAGGTGTCACAGGTTTCAAGTTCGCCTAATGTCCTTCCTTCTTTCTCCTCTTTTGTCTTTGGGTTTTCTTGGAAACTCCTTCTTAAACAGCGTCTGTGTCTTGCAGCTCTCTCAGTTGTAATCCACTGTTATTGTTGGAACACTTTAAATATGGTCATAAGATATTGAGGAGTGGAAGCACTCTATACTCTAATGAGTAAATCTCCATTTTTAGTGAGCCAGGATCCCTGGACTGTAAATCTGCTGAGGAATTTCCTAACCCTTTTTCCCCCTCCCCTCATGAGAGACAAGTAAGCTAGAAGGGGCTCAAATCACTCAATTGCTCTTCTTCCAATTCCAAGTCTGGTAAAGCTCTGATAAAGATAAACATCTTAAAGAAAGCATCTCTTTACGTAGAAAGTTCTCTTTATTTCAGAGAACAGAAGACTCTGAGCATGTTTCATAATGGTTACTTTTTCCCTTGCCTTTCCAGAAGCAAGAGAAATTTTTCTTTGATCTTCACTGTGAGAACTTAGCTGAGCTCCTGAAAGTAAACTCAAAGTATGCGTGCTCCCCTGACACTAGGTCCTCACCATTACTGTTGAAGAGTCCCCTGCCCATTACTGGCTCTAGTGGTCATAAGGTGTGATCTTCTGCATTCACCTACCCCTGCAGTTTTCAGGGAGGTGGTTTACCTAGAGTCTCAACTATCTGGTGGACCTAAGAAGAGTTGCTGATTTTCAGTGTGTTCAGCTTTCTTCTTATCCTGATGACAGGAGGGATCACTCCCAAGATCTTCAAATGCCAGAGCAGAAGCCAGAATCCTAATAATATTTCTTATACATTTTATCTTTTGACCACGAAAAAAGGGGAGGTCCCCAGATCTTATTATGTCAATAATAACATATGAAGGAAACAGGTTTAGAGAAATTTAATGATTTTTCCAGAGATAAATGACTAGTATATGAAGTTAATCTGGATCTTCTAGTGCCTCCTCAAACTCTTCCAATACAAGTCTTTATGTTTTGACATTAAGGCATATGAAACAACTTGAAAGGAGAGTTTAAATTAAGCAGAGAATCATCCATGTTCGAGTTGGATTTGTGGCATGATGTGAAAAGCACTGGACCTCGGACATCCTATAATAAATGTCCCCAATCCTGACTCAGCCCCCAATTCACTTTAAGATTTTAGGAAATTCACAATAATATGAGTCTCGATTTCCCAATGTGAAACTAAAGCAAGAGTGAACACATGGATTATTGAGGTCTCTTGTAATCATGAAGTGAAACAATTCTGGGTTGGATTCTGGGAGGAGAGACAGATTGTGACAAAAGGGCAACTTGTTTCCTCAAAATTTTACTGAAGTGCCAAATTAATTTCTTCCCTTGGGTGAAAATCCTTAGCTTCCTTAATTCTTTAAATAACGTGATACTTTTCCTTCCCATCTGCTTCTTACACTATTGGGGTTTTTTAAATATTTTATTTATTTTTTATTTATTATTTTTTAGAGGGAAAAATATGAGCAGGAAGGGATGGGGGGAGACACACACACACACACACACACACATGCACACACAATTGCCAGCAGGCTTCATGCTCAGCATGGAGCCCGAGGTGGGGCTCAATTTCACAACCCTGAGATCATGACCTGAGCCAAAATCCAGAATCAGCTGCTTAACCAACTGAGCCACCCAGACACCCTTGCTTCTTACATTATTGTTTATGCATATGAGTAATGTTTAAAGCAGGACTTCCTTCCAGGATACCTCATCTCTGAGCAGTCTTTATGCTTTCTCCCCCTTGTAACTCTGCAGTCATTACCAACTACTAAATTGTTTCTGCTAAATGTCACTTCCTCAGAGAGGCCTTCCTTGATCTCTTAGACTAGGACAGAGCCCGGCACTTCCCCTTTTCTAAATTTATTTGTTTGTCTCTGTGTCCCTTGTCCCTTGCCATTCTGGAATACATATGAAGCTAGGACTCCCCATAGGTTACCCTGCTGCACTCTCAGGGCTCTTGAGCCCAAAAAGTGTTGTCCAACAGAACCTTCTGCAATGATAGAAATGTTCTGTAATCTAAACATGCAGCTACTGAGCCCTTAAAAAGTGTCCAGTACAAGTGAACTACTGAATTTTTATTCTAATTTGAATTCAAATAGCCATATGTTACATATCTCACAGTGGAAGACTAAGGCAATGTTTCTCAAAATCGAAATCAAGATATCAGGAACCTGGATTTTTAACTCACTCTCCAGGTAATTCTTCCCAGGAATAAAACTTGACTCTTGATCTAGAATGTGATTCTGGACACTGGCTTCACATTAGAATCACCTGGAGGAGAAAAGGATTCCTAAGCCACATCCCCAGAGATTCTGTTTCAGTCGGTCTGCTGTGGGGTCCAGATATTAGTATTTCAAAAACTAAACAAAACAAAACCCCGTCTGTGAAGGTAATAATATGCAATCAAGTTTGAGAGGCCTGGAACACACGGTACTCAATACCTATTAGATAAACATAGAGGGGGGAAAAACCCGATTTGGGCGCATTTAGGAAGCCTTAGTGATTACAGGGGAAATCTTGTGATGTCACAGGGATGTTAGTGGTTCAGATGAATTTCTTTTATTTTTTTTTAATTTTTATTTATTTATGATAGTCAGAGAGAGAGAGAGAGAGAGAGAGGCAGAGACACAGACAGAGGGAGAAGCAGGCTCCATGCACCGGGAGCCCGATGTGGGACTCGATCCCGGGTCTCCAGGATCGCGCCCTGGGCCAAAGGCAGGCGCCAAACCGCTGCGCCACCCAGGGATCCCTCAGATGAGTTTCTTGAGGGCCACAACAAATCCCATTTTAGCCTTTTGCGGTTGTGTGAGATCCCTCAGCCTCCTGTGTCACCAGGAACGACAGGAATCCTACCCAGCCCCTTGACTTGTAGAGGGTGCCGGGCACAGAGCTCCCAGCAGGAACAACCGGCTCTACAAAGGCACAAAGGCCTTTCCAGGCTGATTGACAAACGGCCTGGGGGCGCCTCCGGGAGTCACGTGAGTCTCCAGGCCAAGGCGAGGGAGGGAGGCGCCCTGGGCCGCCCCGGCCTCCCCGGTTAGGGCCTCGGGGTTAGAGCCCCTCCGCGCCCGCTGTGCTCGTCCCCGCGACGGGGCGGCGCCGCGCCGCAGACCTGGGGGTCGCAGGTGCTCGAGCCCCGGGCCAGGTGGCTGTTCCCGCGGGGGGAAAGGCTGGCGGGCGGCGCCAGCGGCGGGGGACACAGGCGGGGACCGAGCGGCCTCCTGGGCGCGGTGCGGAGCCGCAGCGCGGTGAGTACGAGCACCTGCGGGGACCCGGGGGCGAGGAGGAGCACCTGCGGGGACCCGGGGGCGAGGAGGAGCACCTGCGGGGACCCGGGGGCGAGGAGGAGCACCTGCGGGGACCCGGGGGCGAGGAGGAGCACCTGCGGGGACCCGGGGGCGAGGAGGAGCACCTGCGGGGACCCGGGGGCTCAGGAGGAGCACCTGCGGGGACCCGGGGGCGAGGAGGAGCACCTGCGGGGACCCGGGGGCGAGGAGGAGCACCTGCGGGGACGCGGGGGCTCAGGAGGAGCACCTGCGGGGACCCGGGGGCGAGGAGGAGCACCTGCGGGGACCCGGGGCGAGGAGGAGCACCTGCGGGGACCCGGGGGCGAGTAGGAGCTTCTGCAGGGACCCGGGGACTCTGTACCAGCACCTGCGGGGGACCCGGGGACCCAGTACCAGCACCTGCGGGGGACCCGGGGGCTTTGCGGCGGAGCCTCTCATGATTTTCCAGAACACGCTGATGCTTAAAAGGAAAAACCAAAGCTCAGAAGTCAGGAGTCCAGCGCTGCCAACTGTACCCAAGAGGCGGGCGGAGCTCGCGGGGAGCGTGGAGGAAATTAGCGCGAAACTAAAAGTGAAATCTTGGCTGCAGTAGAACGAGCCTTAGTGACCAGAACGTGCCAACTACTAACCAAAAAAAAAAAAAAAACAAAACAAAACAAGACCCTCCATTAGAAGCTCACAGTGACAGGCAAAATCGAGAATAAAAAACATTTACTTAATAAATGAAGTAAGTATTAAAATACAAATGAATGTGGTTTAAAAAAATCTCAGAGGACACTGGAAAGCGAACATTTAAAAACTATGTTTTGTTTGGAAATGGTTTGAGAAATGGTTTGTTCATGCAACAGGTCTGCACTACAAAAGGATTGAAGTAACGTGCTAAAAGCCATCTGGCCTTACCTTTTCATATAAATCTTATTTTTTATTGACTTAGAGAGGCGGGTTCTTCCTTAAAGACCGGGCATATTGCCAACCCGCCAGCCCGCCGTGCAAACTAGACCCCTTGCTTTCTGAAACGTTCCAGAGTTGTGGGCAATACATTTCATTTACTTGCACCAATAGCTTTAAGTAAATTAACATTGATGATGTTCATGCAGCAGTCAAAATGCAGTTTATGCCCTCTGATTGGCACTTCAAATTAGTACTTCAGTTGGAATGAAAGCTAAGTTTAGGGCTGTCAATAGTCTTTAAGAAAGCCATCTTTTCACTAAAAAAAAATCTGTCACTTCTGAGGGTTAGGCCTTCTCTTATCAGTGTGCTTATAGAGGTTTTGTTTCACTTTGCTTATTTTAATTAAAATAGAAAAAAAAAAACGATTTCTTAGCCATCAACCGAATCTTCTTGGTCCCGTGAATCCTCCCCAGGTAACTCCCGCCCCTCTGGCCTAATCCGGTCCTGATACCTTAGCAGCAGTCCACCTGCCTGACTCTTGAGCAATAGTCCATGTAAGCAATTGCAGGGCTAAAACGTGGCACCACAGTAAGACTATTATTTTTATTGGAGTAGTGTTATTGTGTTAGTGTTTCAATACGTCTCAGTGTCTCTTTCTCACCTACGTCCCCAAGGAGGATATTGTCTTACAGACGTTGGTTTTGGTTTATTTCAAGACAGCACATACAATTTCAAATAGGTGTTTTTTCTTACTAAGATTTATTGAGCAATTCTGAAGTTATCCCTATTTTCAGTTAAATTATCCATAACAATGCCAAAGAATATATATTGTAGGTAGTTCTATATTTAATATTCTCAACAAGAAAACCTAAGAAACAATACATGGAAAAATGAAACACCTTTTTTTATGATTTATTTATTTGAGAGAGAGAGAGAGAAAGAGCGCCTGGCAGGGAGGAGCAGAGGGGGAGGGAGAGAGAAAATCTCAAACCTTCCCCAGTGAGCGTGGAGCCTGACTCAGGGCTCAATCTCATGACGCTGAGATCATGACATGAGCTGAAACCAAGAGTCGGGCACTTAACCGACTGAGCCACCCAGGCTCCCCCAAACACCTTTAAAGTAAATATCATTGTAAAATAAGGTAACAAGGAAAGGTGATTTCAGATGTCCCCAAGAAGTCATCACCCAACATTAAATCTGGAGGGAAAAAAAAAAGACTGGGTTGATTATCTTCCATTCCAGAAGGCTTAAGGAAGTGAAGCGAACCAAAGGGTCAATGTGCAAAATATGGTTTCACAATGGTATTGTGGAAAGACTCTGATTATCTCATGTAATAAAAGAGAGTCCTTTTGTGTTATTTTTCTCATGTAGGTTAAACAACTAAAAGGGTGAATCATGTTCCATAGCCTTTTCCAAATGTAACGAAAAATATCTGATTCTTGGCTATTTGTGATTTGGATCCTTTTCTTCATAGGGATTCAGACTTTTTAATAAGCTTAGCGGTGCTGTCCAATAGAACTTGCTGTAATGGTGGAAATGTTCTATAATCGGCACTGTTCAGAATGGTAACTACTGGCTACGAGGAGCTATCAGGCACTTGATATTTAATTAGCTTGGCTAAGGATCTGAATTTTTTTTTACTTAACTTTAATGAAAATTTAATTATCCACTTGTGGCCAGTGGCCACCAGATTGCACAGGTGGCTGACCAGCCGCCTCACATTGTTCTGCTGCCCAGGTGATGGTATCGTGCATCACACCACTTTAGGAGAGTCCTTGGGTTTGTTTCCAAATTTTAACTTAAATCCTACTTAGTTAACATATAGTGTAATATTGGCTTCGAGGGTAGAATTTAGTGATTCATCACTTATATACAACACCCAGTGCTCATCATAACAAGTGCCCGGCTCCTTAATCTCCATCATCCCTCACCCGTCCTCCACCCAGCTCCTTCCATCCACCCTCAGTTTGTTCTCTATCCTTAAGAGTCTAGGAGATTCCCGAAGGGATATTTCAAGGATCTAATCTTGAAGAGATTTAAGAAATTCTTGAAGAGATCTTTAAGAGATTGTTTTATCTGTGCAGTTTTCTTTAAGTTGTAAAGATATAAGGTTTCATGAACTTCTTAAATACACACCATGAGGGTACTACTGATGCAAAAAGTGCCTTTGCCTCTAGGTAGATCCGAGTATGTAAAAGCAATACAACCTAAATGTGCCCTTAAGCTCCTATTTGAAATAAAAAAAAAAAAACTTTTGCTTTTGACGCACTAACAGTTCTTTTTTTATATAAATATATATAAATAGGGAGAGGGAATCTTAAGCCGGTCCCACACCTAAAGCAGAGCCCAAGGCAGGGCTTGATCTCATGTGTGATTTGAAGTGAAAAGTCAGATGTTTAACCTACTGAGTCACACAGGTGCCCCAGGCTGGTAGTTCTGAAAGTTGTCACACATCCTCTCTCATTTGATTGTCACAACAACCAAATGAAGTAAATTGAGTCTCGGTCCATAAATCTTTTCATTACACCAGTCCACCTACACAGGAGAATTTTGTATAATATAATAAGAATTATCTCCAGGGGTGCCCAGGTAGCTCAGTTCATTAAGCATCCACCTGTTGGTTTCGGCTCAGGCCGTGATCTTGTGGTCCTGAGATGGCTTGAGGATTCTCTTTCCCTCTGCCTCTCCCCCCTCTTGTTCCTTCTCTCTCTCTCTCTCTCTCTCTCTCTCTCTCTCTCTCAAATCAATGAATGAATCTTAAAAAAAGAAAAAAGAAAAAAAATTATTTCCAGATCTTAGAAGAAGTGTTCCAGCTCTAAAGACAAAAGTTATTTTTCTCTTATTTGCACATTAGTGATCAAAAAAAGTATTTGTTGGTAAAATAAAAGAAGAAAACAAATGAACGTGGGGTGTGAACATATTACATAACTTCCTAATGTCCTAACTTTTTACCTGGAGGAAGGAATCCTAGCATACTTTCGAAAACCTCAATAAATGTCACATAGTAATCACAATTTGTTCACAGAACTCACAGCTTCTTAATGGTTTTATTTTTTTTAATGGTTTTATTTTTGATTTATTTCAGAAGCTCTTGAAAAGGACATCAAGTGTGAAGTGAACCGGCTTACTCGCAGGCAGCGCTGGAATCATGAGCAGTAACGGAACAGACCTAACCATTGGTTTCATCTGCTGCTTTGTAGCCGTCCTTTTGTTTGGCTCAAATTTTGTACCGCTTAAAAAATATGAGACTGGTGATGGTAATTATTTTTCCTTCGTTGCTAACTTTATGTTTAAATGTCAAGTTCTCTTTTTTGGTCTTTTTTTTTTTTCTTTTAATGATGGCCACAGATCTTCTTGTACCTGGCACCAAATGAATAGAGCTCACGCTAAATCAGTTGATGGTGCTCGTGCCAGTTTATCTGAGATTTAGTCAGTAGAGAATAATCGTGAGCGTGTGTTCCATGGTAAAGCTGAGAGAGTGACCAGCAGGAGAGCTTTCTAGCCATATCTGTCATGTTTACAAAAGGTTAGTCGGTTCTACTCACATACACTTGTTTTGAAAACATGAATTTCGAACATGCTTCATATAATAGAGAGCACATTGAGCCCAACACAAATGTTGTGTTTATGTGCAGTTTTGACTCTGATACAGTGTCAGGTGAACGAAGAAACCTGCACCCAGGTGAATAAAGAGGCCCAGTAAAGCCTGAAAGGCGCTTGCACACACACCCTGCAGCATCCCGAGCCCCCTCAGCACCACACCCAGTCCCATCTGAGGTTAGGATCCCCCCACCCCTCCCCCCACTGCCCCCCCATCCCCCAACGTCACAAGCTGCCACACTTCCAATGCCCACTTCCAGAAGCAAACCACCAAGTTCCAGTTCAGGTGCCATATTTTTGGAAGACTTGTGAATTTCTTGGCCACTAAGCCAGTGTAAAACTGTACAACCGTTTTTTATTGGGTTCCTGTCTTTTTTTTTTAATATGTTGTTGATGAAATTTTTTTTGAGTGCTATTCCCTTCTTCCCCATAAAAACTCTACAGTTTTTTATTATGTGATTTTGTGTAGTGCAATGTTTTTAGGAACACACGTGGCACATTATAGTTGCCCTGCCTGTAATGTGAACTTCAGGGAAGGAAAAGCAAGAAGTTTTCTCTCTCTCTCTCTCAATCTCTCTCTTTTTTTTTTTTTTTTTTTTTTTTTTTTTTTTGAATCCACATGCCTTTAGCGTTACAGCCAGGAGAAGGGGATGTTCAGATGTTAACGCTGAGCACCTGGTGGGAAGCAGTTACTTTGCCACCTCAGCTCCTTATGACTTGCTGCTACTTAAACAATAGGATTACAAATCTTTTTCTTTCCGAGCCTTTCTTCTCTTTTTCTTTGGAGTTAGGATGGAAACGGAAACGACTAAAATAAGAACAAAATATATACAAAGGGGTAGAGGAACTGGCTTTTAGGTGTCTTTCCACAACTGTGTGGTCCTGAACAAGTCTCACTAGCTCTTTTGTTCTCAGTTTCTCTTTTGTAAAATGAAGAACTTGTTAAGATGAAGTTCCCTTTCATCTCTGGGATCGTCCCTTTTTTGTCCTAGAGGTTAACAGCCATTTTTTGTTCTCTCCTCCACCATGAGACTGAATCTCAACTATCTTCCATAGGGGGAGTCAGAACTGCTACACTGAGTCATAACTGCCCTAATATTTCTTCCAGTGTCAACATTATATTTAACCTTTTAATCCCCAAACCCTTGGTGGTACAGAAGCGTCAGGTACAGACATACTTCTTATCACCGTGTCTTCTTCAGCTAATTGGCAAATGGCAACCCAGAGCACAGAAAGGAGAATGCCCTGACCCAGAATGCTAATTGTCACGTTTGTAATGTTTGGTCATCACAGGCATTCAACTCTAACTGGGAGAGGTCTACATGTGGCCATAAGTGGTTTTGTTTTTATCCCAAAGATGGCATAAACAATCCCAAAGATTTAACTTACTGTTGTGCTGTTCTGAAGTTCTGAATGCCATGTTTTGGTGAGAGATGGCACTAGCTGTGGCATTCGAATAAGAGTACGTAGACTTGGTCTTGCCAGCACTCTTTGGTAGAAAATTCTTGACTTGTCTAATAGGTGAAACAGACAGAAGAATGTTACGCAGGAACACACTGTGTTTGGTAAGCTGTGGACTAGACGGCGTAGGTTTAAATTCCAGCTGTACCAACCATTAGCTGCTGAGACAGGTTGCTTCATCTCACATTCATTTTTTCCATTTTTTAAACTAGAGTTAACTCGGATGCATCGTAGTTGTAAAAATTATATTGAGTGTGCAAAGTACCCCCATATAAACATTCAATAAGTTGTGGCCATTCCTGTAGTAACATCTCTTTGATACTCAGAAGCATTAATTTAGTTTGAACAACTGAAACCAATTTCTTTTCTTTTCAGGAATGTTTCTCCAGTGGGTACTTTGTGCTGCCATATGGTCAATTGCCCTTGTGGTCAATCTGATACTACATTGCCCTAAATTTTGGCCTTTTGCAATGGTTGGGGGCTGCATTTGGGCAACAGGTAATGTAGGATATAATTTATTCTTTAATTATTTAATACTGTGATCACAATAACTCTGAGGACACCTAGGTGGCTTACTGGTTGAGCGTCTACCTTCGGCTTGTAGTCCTGGGATCCTGGGATCGAGTCCTGCATCGGGCTCCCTGTGGGGAGCCTACTTCTCCCTCTGCCTGTGTCTCTGCCCCCTCTCTGTGTGTCTAGCATGAATAAATAAATAAAATATTTAAAAAAGAACTCTGGTTCATAATAAAATAGCACAAACAGCAATCCTGAATAATCCACCATAGATAAATAAAATCTTAAAAGAAAAAAAGAAACTGAACTAATTTCTATTATCAGGTCATGATCACGGGATCCGGGATCGAGTCCCAAGTCGGGCTTCCTGCAAGAAGCCTGCTTCTCCCCCTGCCTATGTCTCTACCTCTCTCTCAGTCTGTATCTCTCATGAATAAATAAATAAATCTTTTTAAAAAATTAATTCAATTTATAAATGTATTTTTGTCTTAAAAATAACATCTTTTCTCTGTATGTTACATCCGCAGGGAACATCGCTGTTGTCCCAGTTATCAAAACCATTGGTTTAGGCCTTGGAATCTTAATCTGGGGATCATTTAATACATTAACTGGCTGGGCAAGCTCAAGGTAACGCAAAACAATTTCAACTAAGATTCTCTACACTGATGTAAGGCAAGTTCTAGGGATTGGGCTAGCTAAGAGGAATAACCTGGTTTTTACCTTCACAGAGATTACAAATGGGAAGGCAGACACATAAAATATGCAATTTTTAATTATTATATGCCCTAAATTCTAATATCTGATCTAGATATTTGGTTAAGATACAGTAAAGCAGTATCTCCTCAGAACAGAAGGAGGAAGAGAGGAGGGGAACTGATGTTTATTTTCTCTTTTTATTGTGTGACAATTTGCTGGACATATTGCATCATTTTACATGCATCATTTTCCTCATTTTCACAAATATGAGGTGAGCACTGCCTTATAAGAGAGCTGAAAGACAAAGAGATGGAGTAACTTGCTGAATATCACAGAATGAATAAGCTAGGCTTCAAATCCCAGTCTCCTAGTTTTAAAGCACATATTCCTTCTAGAGCCTGGGCCAGGGTCAGCAAGCCATGGCCCACCTTCCCAGCCATTTTTGAAAATAGCATTTTATTGGAACATCCATCCATTTCATATTGTCTGGGGCTGCTTTTACACTACAGCGGCAGAGTTGTGTAATTGCAAGAGACCAGCTGGCCCGCAAAGCCTAAAATATTTACTCTCTGGCCCTCTAAGGAAAAGTGTGCCAACCCCGGCTCTAGAGGAGTCCAGCAGGGTCACCACAAGCCACATGTGTCCATTTATATTTAAAGTTAAATGAATTAAAATCTAATCAAATTAAACAGTTCTACAGCTGCACTGCCCAAATATATATATATGTCAAGAGCTCAATAGCCATAGAGGGCTAGGAACTCCCCTGTTATACAGTGCACCTGTAGAAGATCCTCCTCATCCTAGAAACTTCTGTATGACTGTGCTGCCCTTGGTTAGCATTAAAATTAACATTCAAGTTGAGTTTGGGAAGAGGAGTAGAAGGGAGGATGTCGCTCTTACTCTTTGGGCTCCTCTTCCCTCGCAAAGCATTATAACAACCTCAGTAATAATAGAACAAAATAACCTCCAATTTGTTCTTTCCTGGCCTTTCCCCATTCTCCTACCTGCTTCTCACAAGTGCTATTTTCTTTTGCTTTTTCTTCTTGCCTCTTTCATTCTTGCCCGGAGTGGTTCATAGTAATTGTTGGTCATGATTGCTACAATCTCAAGGTGTGAAAAAAAAAGGGGGGTGGGGGGGAAGGTGATGCAAAAAAGTAGTGATCATTAACCAAGCAGTTACCTAAAAGTCTGTTTCAATAAATGCTATACAAAATTTCAGCCAGTTATTTGGCATTCAATTAGCCACTTAATCTATTTTGTCTTCTTCCTTAGTCTTAATAAGAAAGGGACCCTCATAAGCACTTTTACATATACTAACTCATCTAAAATATCTTCATAAGAAGGAAGGTGTTATAATATATAATAAGTACACCTACCTTGTAGGTACCCCATTTTAAACATGGGGAGCCGGAAGCATGGTAAAGAGTCAACTTTTTCAAATCACAGTTAATAAGAGAGGGATTTAGGATTTGAATCCAGGAATCCGCCCCTGAGTCCATGCTCTTGAACACAATTGATGAACACATTTTCAAAAACACCTACTTTGGTGTAACTTTCTCAATTCCAGGTTTGGTTGGTTTGGAATGGATGCAGAAGAAGTATCAAACCCGGTGCTAAATTACATTGGAGCTGGATTATCAGTAGTAAGGTACACAGTCATTTCTGATTTAAGTGTTCTTCCAAACGTTTACAATATTTAGAATACCTTTTAGAGATCATAATGTGTTTACATTTTTTTAAACCTGCATTTCATAAAAGTGACATGATTTGTTCTCAGATTCTTCATTTACATTTACAGATTTGGCTTTTCGAGGAGAAAGCAGGCCAGCTCTGGGGTCGCAAGCCCCAGCTTTAGTTCTGAAAAGCTCTGAGACCCTAGGAAAATCATTTAGCTGCTTTGAAGCTCACTTTCATTATCTGTGATTTTTAGAAAAATCATAGTACATAGCTCATAAATTGGAATCAAATGGCACATTATTTTGCAAACTAAAAAATACTATGTAAATAAATATTATGCTGGCTCCCAGATGCCCCCAGAATAGCCATTAATTCTCTCCTCTTATTACTCATTTCCTCTTTGCCCCCCAGTTTCCAAACTCCTGTCACCTCATCTGGTCTTATCCCAGTCAGATAACTACTCCCTCACCTATAAAAACACATATTCATTTTTGTACATGTTTTTGGATGTATCTGTGTCTAGTCGTATGCACTATATGAATAAAGATGAAAATGACTTTAAATCTCTGGCAGTGTTCAATCAATAAAACTCCAACAGGAATTAGGTCACCTTAAATTCAGTCCCTTTCCATTCTAGACTCCATTTATATTCCCTGTCAGTGCTTCGCATAATGGATAGCACTGTCTGGAAAGATTTTAGTACTTTTTTATTCTTCAGGGAAAGAACACTATATTTCTCTTCCTACTGCAACGATGGCTTTTCCCCAGCCACATTTCAGGAACAATCTCTTTGTCATTGAAATGTTGCCTAAGAGAGTGGTTCCAGGCCAATTGGAGAAGAAATAACATAGATTATTCTAAAAAAGCAGATTCCTGACATTTTTGGTTAGAGGCAATTTTATGTATTTTGTACAATTCACATGACATCCTGGCTTTGAATAGCTCTCTCAAAACCAATTTTTTTTTAATTTTTTTTAATGGAGTTCAATTTGCCAACATATAGCATAACACCCAGTGCTCATCCTGCCAAGTGCTCCCCTCAGTGCCTGTCACCCAGTCACCCCCAACCCCCCGCCCACCTCCCCTTCCACTACCCCCTTGTTCATTTCCCAGAGTTAGGTGTCTCTCATGTCAAAAACAATTTCTTTACGCCCCAAAATTGTAATGTAGCGTGCCTTAGTTGTGACTTAATAGTAATTTAAGGCCAATTTACTCAGTCCATCAGACATCATTTTTCTCCATATTTCTTCTTTCTTTAGAAACTGTACATTCTCTAAAATTGCAAACTATGCATGTCCTGCCCACTTCTTCCCATATGACCTTGGGCAAATCACTTGATTTCTCTAAGCCCTGGTTTCTCCATCTGGAGCTAACATAGAAGTAATAATTGTGCCAGCCTTATAAAATATTTTGAAGATTAAATGAGAAGAAATATGTCAAGGGCTATGTATATTTCTAGGCATATATATGGCTAATGCTCTATAAATTGGATAATTTTTATTATAAGACTCATTATTTTGATTAGTAACTAGTTCATATGCAATCACTGTTTTCCCTTTCAGTCTGTGGTAAACTGTCAGTGCACCTGGGGAATCAGGCAGTTAGATTAGGAGCTTGGTCTTTGGCACAGAAAGGCAGCGATCTCTTCCTGTAGTGCATTCTGGCTCCCGTCTATGTTCTTTACCAAGAGGACCTCCTAGAAACATTCATTTGATCATTTTAACTCCATTAAATCAGTTTGTTCAAAGGGCATTCATTCATTGAATAAGCTTGCGGTTTCATGGCCAGTGTAAAGAAAATTGGAATATGGTTAGATTTGTTGGTCACATCCTTTTGCTTTTCTTTTCAAAACTGACATTATTGATCCTCTCCTCTGTAGAGTCCAGTTTTTAAAGGATAGGTGGGATTGTTTCAAGGCTTACATTTTTCCTATATGTAAGGTAGTATCAGTCAGGTTCCACAACCAAAACCCCTCTAGGTGGTTTTTTGTTTTTTTTTGTTGTTGTTGTTGTTGTTGTTGTTGTTTTAATTTTTTGAAGGTGGGGGACAGAGGGAAAGAGAATCTTAAGCAGGCTCTACGCCTAGCACACAGCCTGACATGAGGTTCGATCTCATGTCCCTGAGATCATGACCTGAACTGAAATCAAGAGGCACTCAACCGACTGAGCCACCCAGGTTCTCCCACTCTAGGTATTTTAAACAGAAGAGCATTTCACACAGGGAATTGCTTACAAAACTGCAAGGCCCAATGGAGCAAAAGGAGTAAGGGGACTCTGCCCAAAGTCCTAGAGTCCACACCCCAACCAGCACAGTTGCCTCTGCCCTGAGTCATCACCGCAGCTGAAACTACCAGAGCCACCATCAAAACCAAATGGCTTCTCCCAACTTGTAAGTCTGTTTGTATGCCTCCCATGGGCAAAACCTAGCTGTTCCACAGTTACTCCAATTCAAAATTTTAGTCACCTTAATTTTTTTTTCCTTTCATCCCCCATCTTATATATAATCCTATAAAGTTTTTTCTGAATGTTTCACAGGTTTTTCCTCTCTTCTCCCCCAGTTCCCTACTATACATCCACCTGCATATGATTATAAAAATCTCACGTCTGTGGGGGCCTGGGTGGCACAGTTGGTTAAGCATCCAACTCTTGGTTCCGTCTCAGGTCATGATCTCAGAGTCATGAGGTGGAGCCCCATATCAGGCTCCACACTCAGCTCAGAATCTGTTTGGGATTCTCTCTCTCCCTTTGCCCTTCACCCTATTCACTTCTCTCTCTCTCTCTCTCTCTCTCAAATAAATAAATAAATAAATAAATAAATAAATATCTTTTTTTAAAAAAATCCAAGAGGCACTCCTGGAGAGGAGCAGCCCCTGCCACCCAGGACTAGGCCCCTTAGGGAGGAGGAGCAAGAAGATGGTGACAACCCCACAGATGTGAGCTTGTGCCCAAAGCAATGGCACAAGCATCATGTCCTTGATCATTCTCCCAAAGACCAGATTTCACAAGTGCCAAAAATGTTAGCAGATAAATTTGGAACTACATCTAACGTTAAGTCACCAGTAAACTGCCTTTCTGTCCTGAGAGCTATTACATCTATAAAACAAAGACTCAAACTTTATAACAAAGTGCCTCCAAATGGCCTGGTTGTTTACTGTGGCACAATTGTAACGGAAGAAGGAAAGGAAAAGAAAGTCAACATTGACTTTGAACCTTTCAAACCAATTAATACATCATTGTATTTGTGTGACAACAAATCCCATACAGAGGCTCTTACAGCACTACTTTTGGGTGACAGCAAGTTTGACTTCATTGTAATAGATGGTAGTGGTGCACTTTGGGGCACACTCCAAGGAAACACAAGAGAAGTCCTGCACAAATTCACTGTGGATCTCCCACAGAAACATGGCAGAGGAGGTCAATCAGCCTTGTGTTTTGCACGTTTAGGAGTGGAAAAGCAAAACAACCATGTTCAGAAAGCAGCGGAGATTGCTGTTCAGTCATTTAATTCTGAGGACAAAGTGAATGTGGCTGGTCTTGTTTTAGCTAGATCAGCTGACTTTAAAAGTGAACTAAGTCAATATGATATGTTTGATAAGAGGTTGCAATCAAAAGTTTTAAAAATTTGTTGTTATTTCCTATAGTGGTGAAAATGGATTCAACTAAGCTGTTGACTAAAGTCCTCTCCAACACAAAACTCATTCAAAAGAAGAAATCAATAGGATGATACTTTGAGGAAATCAGCCAGGGAAGGGAATGAGAGCTGTTAGAAATTGGAAGCTGTAGAGATTCTAATAGTCTATGAAAATTTGGATCTAATGAGATACATTCTTCATTGCCAAGACACAGAAGAGGAGAAAATTCTCTAACTACAGAATAAGAGAAGGATAAATCTCAATTCCCAGACCAGGAGACAGGACAAGAACATGAGCTGATTGAGAACATGTCCCTGCTGAAATGTTTTGCTAACAACTATAAAAAAAAAAAAACTGAAGCTAGGTTGGAGATTGTCATAGATAAGTCACAAGAAGAATCCCAGTTTCTGAAAGGATTTGGTGGGATTGGAGGTATCTTGCGATACCAAGTAGATATCCAGGGAATGGAATACCATGGAGGAGATGATGAATTTTTTTACCTTGATGACTACTAGGTAGTCAACATGGGTCCAGCAAAATGTGCCTCACTCTCCAGCATCCAATCCAAGGAGCATACCCGTGGTGGAATCCAAACAGATCCCTGCCTTACAATTGGCACATTTCCAGAACTTTAATTCATGACCATTGGATATTGAAAAGAAAACAGAAACAAAACAAGACCCAGCAGTACACTTTGGTTGTCATGGTGTCAGTGCAGCAGCCTACAACTAAGTCCCTAAAATGCCACTCTGGACTAATTTTAAAAAGAATCCCAGTTTTTACTTTTACTCCATGGTGAAATTCATTGCTCTTGTATTTTATGAAAAAAAAATAATTTTTTAACCTTCATACATAGAACCAAAAATACCTTAACTGCTATAAACTTTCAAAAGTTAATAGAAATGAGATCACTTAAAAAAATCTCACATCTACTTTCCCTAGTTCCATTTTTTCCTATTACTAGTATAACTTCCTTGTATCTGCTACCAACTCAGTCATCACTCTCCTAATTAAGAACTTTGGAAGCCTCCCATTGGATTCAGAATAAATCTGTCTTCTTAATCTGGTATTCCCCCCACAGTCACAGATTCAAGCCTTCTTCCTAGATCGGCCTTCTCCCTGTATTGTCAGTTCATTGACTCAGGATTATCTATCACATCATATCCTAGACACTTCCCCCAGCCCGAACACCCTTTCCTCAGCTTCCTTCGCCACCCTTAAATGTCAGTAGAGATTTTCCATCCTGTGCTGTTTTCTTGATTTCTCTTCTTCTAATTAGAGTTATCCCTAAACTTCCACTGCATTTTGAACTTCTTCTATTATGGAAGGGCCTCTTTTGTATTATTCATACAATTCCTTTATCCTTGAACTGTGAGATCTTGGAGGACAAAGTCTGTTATTTTCTTTGAATACAATCTCTCCCATCATCACCAACAGACTTTGCCACACAGTGTTTGACACTTAATAGATGCTCAATGAAGGCTTGTTAAATTGTCAGGGTGAACACATACAAGTTTTGCTAATAGATGTAGAGAGTTGTAAATCTAGGAAAACTGGAAAGATTGAAAATGTAGAGAAGCACTCCTGGGTATGACATGTTGATATTTTTTTTAATTTTCCATGCTTTTGACAACATTCACAGACTTTATCATGGATCTTTGTGTCTGACACACTGTACCAAGTTCTGTAAGTCTGTAGCCCAAAAGACCTGTGGCCTATTTGGTTTTATGTTCGTAAACATAAAATAAATTTCATTACCTTGTCCTAATTTAGTGCTCTGCACCCCTTGTTGACCTAATTGAGCTGACTTACCTATTTTGTGACAAGCACTAGTCACACAAGCTCAAAACCACTGATTTCTTAGTCTTGATGTTTTTTCTTATGCTCAAAACCCCCTCTTCCATCCAATAGGCTCTTTATTTCCTAACATGTTTTGAAATTTTACCATGTTCTAAAAAGTACACTGAGAATTTTATATTCCTTGTTATTTAATTCTCATCACAGTTTTGTAAAGTGGGCACATACCCATTTCTATTTATTTAAATTCAATTAGGCAACATATAGTACATCATTAGTTTCAGATGTAGTTTTCAATAATTCATTAGTTTCCATTTCTTTAGATGAAAAAAATCAAGACTCAGAGAGGCCAAGTGATTTGTAGGAGGGGCAGACGGTCATTTGAAGAAACATTCAAAGACTTTCTCATTGGTTCCCTTCAAGTATCTCTAACATACCCTCCTGTATTCTTATTAGGAAAACACACTGGTCTACACAAAGCTGAAGGTTTCCATTGTAACTTTGAGGAAAAAATGCAACTGAGACATCTAATAATAGCTTTGCAAATAAGCATGTATGTAAGCACACATTTAAGTAAGATACACACATTTAATTAGGTTTTATGCACTCATTTTTACTAAGTGTTAAGCACTTTGAGGACCCTGAAGGAGCTCTTATCTTCCACTGAATTAGAAAATCTGTAGGGAAACAAGTTTACAAGGCTTTGTGGTAAATGGTCTGGATTACACAATGACTATTCTTAGTGTTGTGGAAATTCAGAGAAGAGGAAGAGTCAGTGAGCATGGAGCTGGGAGTGGGGGTTTCTTGTCACATTCAGCACTTCAGTTCTTCAGTTTGGATAAGAAGAGGGGAGTATGTGCTGTGTTCAGCTAAGAAAGAGAAGCAAGAACAGGTGGTTTCAAAAGATGGGGGTGAAAGTGAGGTTGGAACAGGGACAGGTCAAAGTTGAAAGTCCATGTGGAGAATGATGTGGAGTAGGTTATGGGGAACATAATGCAGAGAATAATACAACTCAAAAAGGACAGTTCAATTTGCTACAGAAGGGAATATGGAACCATTCAAGTTTTTAAAGCAAGTAAGAGACTGAACCAAGGAAGCTAAGAAATTTAATTTATTCAACACATCATAAGCACTAGTCTGCACTTAGGTACCTACACTATTTCAGCCTTCTCTGTACTTGCAAAACTTCTTATATTGCTATAACTTTTGAACCATGCAAACATATTTTTAAAAAAGAATGTCAAAAGTATACCAGAGTTGTTAGTTTCCTTAAGTCAATTTAGTATTTTAACACATTTTAACCTATTTACATGGTTCAAAAGTCAATGGTAAGTGAAGCATCCAATACAAAGATACTGAACTTGAACAGACGGTGCATTTTGAGAGAATGATGAAGGGGGAAAGTCATCGGGCTTATGTGTGTTTTTTTGATCTCTTAGAATATACTCTGGAGATCTTTCCATATCAGAGCACACAGGGTGTCCCTTCGTTTCTTTATATATATATATATATATATATATATATATATATATATATATATGTATATCTGTGTTGCATTCCATTGTGTGGCCATGAAGATTGCCTCATCTGAGTGTGGGTGTGGTGGTGTTCTAGAGCCTCAGAGTCTCCTCCAGGGGGTTGTACAACACACACCTGATGATAAAGTTTGTCCAACAGAGGGTGTTGTTAAATGTTTAGGGTTTTGTCAGCATAATAGGTGAGAAATAGTGCTACAGAATAGCACTTTGCATTTTTTTTGTATTTTTTTACCGTGTGTTTCATTTGTTTTTTTTTACCATGTGATTCCAGAGTTAAGCAAGAATTAAAGAAAAATGCAGCCGTTGACTGAAACAAGAAAATCAAGAGGAAGATCTGATTTGAGGGGAATTCTTGTGAGTTAGGCTTTTAACTCATTGCAGTTAAGGACAACAAGAGATGTCAAAGAGAAAGGCAATCCTAGAGAAATGTCAGGGCCCCTGAGGAGGCAGTGTGGGAGTAATCATTATACCAATAGGCTGGATTTAAGCCATGTTTTCTCATAAAATTCAAGCAGCTTAATATGAATCAGGGTTATGATAAACATCTCCAAAATTTCTTTTCCTTACAGTGCTTTCATATTTTTGTTCATCAAAAGTGAAATACCAAATAACACGTGTTCGGTGGACACCACACCATTAATGACAGAGCATGTAAGTACAATATGAGAAACAATATGATTAGAAACATAAAATTAAAATAAAAGGAAAGTGCATAGATTTGAAACACAGATGAGAAGGTAGTTTTTTTTTTTTTTCATTCGGGGCCATTGAAAACATGTTTGCATATTTATAATAGTTAGATCTACATATCAACCAATCAAGATTGCCACAGGAAAACTTCTCAGCAAACACAGAGGTCTATTTATATCTATTAATGGTAGGTCCCAACTAGAAGATGTATCTACAAGCTCATATTTTGGAATGGCTTAAGATTTCTGTAATGGGAGCACCCTAAGTACTAAAGAGGAATATGAAAGCCCTTTTAGGAAGAGGGAGGAGGGAGGCCATAAGGTAGACCCAGAGAGAGCAGTGGAGAATAGATCAGAGGCAGCCAATGAAAGAATAAATCCAGTCACATGAAAAGGAAGTCATATGAAAGGAAGAGTAGGACTTGATTTTCTTCCTTTTTCTCTTTTGTCACATCCTGTTCCACTCAAAGGTAAAGTCAAGAAATATATTTTAAAAAGTCGCTGTTTGACCTTGAAGAACCTAAATTAGTCTGGAGTAGCAAATCTTGATTAAACAAAACAACCCTAGGGATCCCTGGGTGGCGCTGCGGTTTGGCGCCTGCCTTTGGCCCAGGGCGCGATCCTGGAGACCTGGGATCGAATCCCACGTTGGGCTTCCGGTGCATGGAGCCTGTTTCTCCCTCTGCCTGTGTCTCTGCCTCTCTCTCTCTATCTGTGTGACTATCATAAAAAAAAAAAAAAGAAAAAAAAAAACAACCCAAAAAAGAGATCTGACAAAGCATAGGGGCCAGTGGCTACATATACAAAAGTGATTTTGGGGCAAACTCCCATTACCATGAGCCCAGACTCAATCCTTCCTATTTCAAGTATCTCTTCTATCTGCTGTGGGCCCAGGGCTATCTAGCTGCCCTCAGAAACCAGTATACAGGGGATCCCTGGGTGGTGCAGTGGTTTGGCGCCTGCCTTTGGCCCAGGGCGCGATCCTGGAGACCCAGGATCGAGTCCCACGTTGGGCTCCCGGTGCATGGAGCCTGCTTCTCCCTCTGCCTGTGTTCTGCTCTCTCTCTCTCTCTCTCTCTCTCTTTGTGTGTGTGTGTGACTATCATAAATAAAATTTTTTTAAAAAAAGAGTTTCTTTAAAAAAAAAAAAAGAAAAGAAAGGAAACCAGTGTCCTATACCCCTCCAGAGTCATTGCCTCCCTGGAAGGTGCTGCCTCTACTCCTTACTTCAAAATTAACCTTTTCTTCTTCCTTCCCTCTTCACCTATCAAAACCATTATCGGGAGCGCCTAGGTGGCTCAGTGGTTGAGCATCTGTCTTTGGCTCAGGTGGTGATTCCAGGGTCCCGGGATGGAGTCCCACATTGGGCTCCCTGCCTGGAGGGAGCCCTCTGCCCATGTCTCTGCCTCTCTCTCTCTCTCCCTCTCTCTCTCTCTCTCTCTGTCTCTCATGAATAAATAAATAAAATCTAAAAAAAAAAAGAGTCCTCAAATAAGATGACTAAAACCTTAAATTGACATGTTAGTTAATAATTAGCTTAAGTATAAGAGAAAAGAGATTTGTTAGCCCATAGATATCTCTAATCCAGAAAATGTTGCAGAGAGAATGGAGGAATTGGGATTGAGCGGACGTTTCCAAAATCCCTCATCTCCTCTAGGAAGTCAGATACCTCCTGACCAACCACCCTTTAAACCAAGGGAGAGAAAAAGGAAAATGCAACTCAGAAAAAGATACATAGTATCTTAGTAGTAGGTTAACTGCCTTAGATTTTTCTAGGCAAGATGGAAGGATATGAGCAAATCAAGTGTAGAGTTACATAAACAGCACGGCTGGGTATTGTGCAACCATACACTGTGAGCTCTTCATCATTGAAAGAAAGCAGTATTGCCAAACTTGAGTTAATACATGACGAAGAATTCAAATCTAGTTTCTTTTTTTTTTCAAATCTAGTTTCTTATCTCTTACAAAGACTTTAGGAATATCACATTAAAGAAACTTCAGCTAAAAGGCAAAAATGATTAAAATTCAATATTAGAAATATTTTAAGTGTGCTTGTAATTTTTCCTTAGACTATTAACCTAAAAAAAAGAATGTTAACTTTACATGAAACATGACTGGAAATGTTTTATTAACTAATTCAGTTTTTAAAAGTGAATAAAGGGCAGCCCAGGTGGCTCAGCGGTTTAGCGCCGCCTTCAGCCCAGGGTGTGATCCTGGAGACCCAGGATCGAGTCCTACGTCGGGCTCTCTGCATGGAGCCTGCTTCTCCCTCTGCCTGTGTCTCTGCCTCTCTCTCCCTCTCTCTGTGTCTCTCTCAGGAATAAATAAATTTTTCAAAAAAATAAATTGTGTTTAAAATAATAATAATAATAATAAATTTTTTAAAAGTGAATAAAAAAGTACCTATCAATCTGAAGTATTCCATAGAAGAGTCTGAGTTTTCCTGGGTTCTAATTTTTTATATATTATTAAAACATGCAGATTAAACACAAGCATTGTTAACTTCTGTTACTTTTGAAGGGTGTATCAAAACAGCCATGTATTAAACTGAAAAAAATTTAGACAGAGAAGCTGCCCACAGCCAAACCATCTGAATGAAAGAGGAAAAGAATCAGAAACATTTGAGTCTGGAGAGATGCGCAGAATCAGAATGCATAGTGTCACATGCTCATATTTTTAAAGTATGTTTGAGAAAGAAGAGAAAAACCCTGAAAATCTTCTTGTCACCACTATGACTATCAATTGAATGCTGTTTTTGTTTTTGTTTGTGCCAATATTTTCAATAGGTGATCAACAGCAGTCAAGATCCCTGTCCTGATTATTCCTGGGTGGATAAACTTTCTAGAGCACAGCAGCGTACAGTGTAAGAAGAGGTTCTATTATTCTCTTTTATATTTAATTAAAGCAATGATTATCAGAGTGAAGTGCTACTCATCTAAGTTCAAGAAGCAAATGGTATCATAAGCTTTGACTCCCGTAGTGCTGTGGTGGACAGATTTTCTTGTCCCCTGCTGAATTTTCAGTTTGAGAGGTCCTTGATATCAATGTTTCTTTCAAGAAATTCCTAAGCCAAAAAAAAAAAAGAAGAAGAAAAAAAGAAAAAGAAATTCCTAAGCCACTGCAGTATTTCTAGCCAATAAATAGCTTACAAAAGCAATCTCGCTTTGCAGTACTTTTGTGCCTAAAGTAAAAGAGGTAATATAGGCCGGAGTATATAATGATCAACAGGCTCTCACCAATCACGATCAAATTAGACAACACACTCCTCTAATACTGCACTGCCCAGGACGCTTGTCCTCCGCTGGAAATCCCTACACTCAGGTGTTAGACAATTTTATAATCCCAAGATATTCATTTTCAAATATAGTAGACATTTTGGGTTCCTGTAATTATACCCCTCACTGTCATAAAGTGGGTCCCTATATCTTAGGGTTTCTTGTGGGATGGCTCACCAGCAGCCCCTATATCTTAGGGTTTATTGTGGGATGTTTTTGGATTAGCAGAGAAATATGAAAGCATGTAAGTGGATAGATAGCTTGAATTTTACAGTTGATGACTGTTTCGGACTTTATGTGGTGACACACATAAGCGCTTCAAGAATAGAAAGCATTTTCTCTGTTAGTATAGACATGAACCTCACAGTGAGGAAGAGCCTGTCCCTGGTGCATAATAAATGCTTGATAGATCTTTGAATGAAGGAAGGAACGAGCTCATGAACAAGCTTTGGAAGATAAATATGTTACTGTTTTTGCTTCAGAGTAAAACAGATCTCTCAAAACATTTTTTCACAAAGCTTCTCCCTTCTAAAGGAATATTTTTTTGGGGAAAAAAAAAGGCATTTTTGATTGTCTTATGATTAGCCAGACCTGGTCTTTTAGTCCTGTCTATGGCTGGGACACCTCTTTCAGGACTGTGGCGTCCAGGCTTCCCCACGACACACGGATTTCCAGTGTGGATAGAGCTGATTGCCAGGTTGGCCTGTGAGTTTCTATTAAAATAGACTCTAAGAATTTGTTTTTAAGTTTGGAAAGGAATGTTTTTGTTCGCTTGTTTTTGCCTAACATTCTGTTTTATGCCATTGCCCATTGTATTAAGTTAAAGGGACTGTTCCAAAATATTAATCATCTCTCAACAAAATTATCGGGAACACTTGCCTCATGCAAATGTGGCCCAAGACTGAGGAGGCGCCATGACTCCAGTGCTTAAGATGAAGTATTCTGTTTTTATAACAAGAACTGTAATACCCAAATTATTTGATTAAATCAGCATTTCTTGACCATACCCTCATCAGTGAAGGCATGGGCAAGTCCAGGGACATTCATTTAGTATTTTGTCTATCCTAGCCCTGTGCTGGATAAATTGAGTGTTTACAAAATAAGCCTGGGGGATCCCTGGGTGGCTCAGCGGTTTAACGCCTGCCTTTGGCTCAGGGCGTGATCCTGGAGACCCGGGATCGAGTCCATGTCAGACTCCCTGCATGGAGCCTGCTTCTGCCTATGTCTCTGCCTCTCTCTCTGTGTGTGTCTCTTATGAATAAATAAATAAATCTTTTTTTAAAAAAAAAATAAGCCTAGGGCATAGTATCAGTGTACAAATAGTTCATATTTAGACAGCCAAGTTTATTATGCAGCCAGTATAATGATAGCATAGTCACGTCTATGCAGTGACAATTTATAATGATAATCCATCAGAACTTCTATGAATCGTATACTTCCAAAACCAGGCAGTGGGGGACAGAAGCTGCACTTTAGGTCTTGATGTCTTTCTGACCCTGATGCTCTGACCCTGCAAGGTATTTCTTTGACTTTTGACAGTCACAGAGCTTGAAATGGATGTGTGATTTCTGCATAACTGCTTGTGATTTACACTTTGAAGCATGCTTTAGTTATGATTCCATTTGTGTGTTTGTCAGAAGTATTGCTGTGGGCCAAGATTAATAGTGATGTATTTGTTTTTTAAGGGGCTGCAGTCTTGCAGTGATATCTGGAATACTCTATGGGTCTACGTTTGTGCCAATAATTTATATCAAGGACCACAGCAAAAGAAATGATAGTATATACGCAGGGGCAAGCCAATATGGTAAGGGTAAACCATTATTTTGCTTTATAAATAAATTCAATACCTGTTTTTCTTAAGAATACAAAAAGAATGTGGTCCTAGTAAATCCTGGTGCATAGATTTGATCTTACTTTTTCACTGTAAGTGGTGAATTAGAAAACCACTGAAGACTAAAAGTAATAAAGGACTGTTTGAGTCATCTCACATGATCGGCAAAATACAAATATAATCAAGTTTATTCTAGTCAGGATTTATATCAACTACTTAGATCTTAACACATGCTTCTTAGCTTTACAGTGAGATTCAGAGATTATCTTCCAGTTAGATAATCTCTGAGAAAATATATATTCTTCTGCTCTTTCAGGTAAACGTCAAAGTATAACTTTCCTAATGGTCAAAGTATGGCCTAGTCAGAGGATATTATTTTTAAAACATAGAGAAGTGCATTGAAAGGCTCAACATAATGCTCCCAGATTACCTCAGTTTCCGGATGTAGAGTCTGTCTGGTGTAAACTCAACACCGTGTCCAAGAGCCTTGTACAGGCTCATCAGAAATGAAAGAGGGTCTACTTCAGGGGTCCTATCATTTTGTTGAAGCATGGCTTCCACCCATGAACCCATCAAAGAATGAGATCATAGGCAATAAAGTTCTGAATTGGATGATAGAGAAAACTAATGTGATCTGTGTTCAGAAAAGGGTAAAATTTGGAAGGCAAAAGTTATGAGGGAGAGACTGATGACAAAACTGGGATTTGAAAGACTTTAATGGAATAGATAGACTGCATTGACACCATTGTTTCTTCCTTCCTTTTTATATTCAGTCCAATTAGCATTCAAACCTTTTACTAACTTCCGTCTTTTTTTAAAGATTTTCTGCAACTTTGTGTGTTTTTATTATTTTCATTTGTAAAGGATAAAAATCAATAAAAATAGAATAACATAGGACAAATTAAAAGAGAAAGAAAATCAAGAGTTAAAAAATAAAACGAAACCAGGAATGAGTCTAAAAACCGTAACATATTTGTACACTTGCTAGAAATGAGCCATAAATTTGGCTCTAAGATTTCTTATAGACACAAGGGAAATCAAATCAGTCCCACAATTCAGTGAACGCAAGATAAAAAGAACTAATCATCCAGGAGCATGGTTGTTCTTGGTCCTGGGCCATAATAAATAATGTCCTCTTTACATAATACATAGTCATTTTTTAGGGACCTTTCTTATGACAACGTTAATGTCATCTAATAGGAACACACTTTATTCCAATTTATTAAAAAATAGTTCCAGGGAGGTACAATTTTTTATTTCATTTATTTAACAAACACATAAGTATCACATGTACTGTGCTAAACACTACTCTAAGCACATGACCATAATAATTCACTTGACCCTCATAGTAACCTTATTGGTTAGATAACATTATTATTCTTGTTTTACAATTGAGAAAATTAAGACAGTGAGAGATTAGGTAATTTGCCCAGGTCTCAAAGTTAGCAAGTAGCGGATTGTAGATCCCTCCCAGGTGATCTGTGCTTTTTTAAACTATGTTATGCTGCTCCTTGTGGTAGTCCATAGATATGTTGTTCTTACCTGATCCAGAAAGAGGGTTTAAGATTTTAGAAGAAAAGACACACTCTTTGACCTTTGAGCTTTTCTCCTTAAACATGACCCCTCATCTTTGTCAAAACCTTAGTTGGGAGAAACATTAAATCCAATGTGACCTTCCCAGCCAAGAACCTGTAATAGACCCATTTGTCTGACTAAATACAATCTGTTTAAACAGTTGGTGTAGTTGGGGTTTCTCGGATTTGGACCACCATCATGTGTCATTAACACTTGCATGTAATAAGGCTTAGAGTAAACAATTAAATAAAACCCTCTTTGGTAGAACTTCCTGATTATCTTTCCATATAGCTGTCATCTGCAACAGACACACTGGTCTCCAGATCAGTCACCATATAAAATTAGTACTCCCCAATATTCTTCACAATGCCCCCCCACTACAGTCTACCTGGAGATTTGCTACAATTGCCATTTGTAAAATTAAGTCGAAACCTATTCTAAAAAGAAGGTCGTATTCACATAATGTTTATAGTTTCTTATTTACCTTTCCAAGATAATCATAAAAACCGTGTTTTAGATCTGATTGTAGTGACTAATTTACTCTTAATATTTCTAAGTTTTAAATATATTCATTAAAACTCTATGTACAGCATGTAGAAAGCCAGGATGATAAAATATAATTAATGGTTCCTTTACTTTTAAGGTTAATTTTGGTGAGTTTGTTTTGTTTTTAGAACTCTAAATATATTTGAAATGAATGAAAGTATACATTTGAGAGTTTTATGATCTGCATTTTCAGATTTAGACTACGTTTTTGCACACTTCAGTGGCATCTTTTTTACAAGCACAGTCTACTTTCTGGCCTACTGTATAGCCATGAAAAATAACTTTAAGCTATATCCTAAAGCAGTCCTGCCAGGTAAGAATATTTACTACAAAAAATATTTTTACTCTATGAAAGTCTTCTCTACTCACTTAGCTTGAGTAATCATCTTCTGGAAATCAAGCCATCCCTGTGTGTGTATATCTGTGTATATGTTCATTCCCTAATTGCTTTGGCCCTACTCACCAGTAAATATGAAAGATTTAAAAACCATGAAACTGGGTGTGAAATGACAGTCATTACAGAACCTGAAACTTGAACAGTGAATCTAAGATGATTTCCTGTGCCAAAATACCTTGAGTATTGACCTATACAAAGAATGCTTATTAAAAGTCAGTGTCATGTGACTATTTTTTCTAAAAAAAAAAATGGTATGAACAAAGAGAACTTTGTAGTCACTTGGGTAAATATTTTCTCTGAAAAATAAGGAGAAATTGTTTTAGATTTTGAAAAGGGCATATGATAAATGCACATACTTTGGACTTCATTCATTTGGCACTGGTGGTAAAAAAATATACATATAATTCCTCATTTACTTAGAAGTTTGCCATAATGCAATTTAGAATATAAGTCCACAAGTAAAAAAATGTTAAGAACAAAATAAAGCATATGTCAGAGATTCATTTTGTTTACCGGATTCATTTAAGTCAAAGTACGCCACTATATGGTATAGTATACAACTATACCATTATAAAAATAATAGGATATTTATTGAACACCCAACTAAAGTATCCTAAAATTTTTATCTGGTATTTTCATTCAAAATCTAGGAGCTTCCCCACCACCACTTTAACTATAAGATCATTCTGAACTTCACATTTTATGTTGAGAGTTGAAAGTAAATGGTGTTTGCAGAGCATGCTCAGATCCAGTATCTTCCTTAGGTCCCTCTCCACTACCCAATCTTTACATCAACTACAACTTTGGGTATTTTATTTAATGTCAATAAAGTGAAAAGATTGATAGTTATACCCACAGCAGTCACGAGCCAAAAAAAAAATGATTTGGTTTCCAAAATGACCATAAAATCATGTTGGCCAAAAATGTCTATAGGAATGCATTGATACGAGCACTTTCATATTCCCACCATATTGAAGGCATGGACTTTTCAGGAAAGGAACATGGCTTTTAAGTGTGTGCTGTTTGCATGTGTTTCAGGATTCCTGTCAGGAGTTCTTTGGGCAATAGCCACCTGCTGTTGGCTCATAGCCAACCACTCTCTCAGCGCTGTGGTCAGTTTTCCAATAGTCACTGCGGTAAGTAGCTGAATGTTTTTCCAAATTTTTGTTTTGCAAATGCAAATCTGATCTTTCTGAAGCATTCCTAGTGAATCACTGAGGACTTCAATTTTTTGGAGTTCAATTTTTTAGGAGTACAGTTTGTAGAACAGATTCATGTACTCTCTCCAACACCCCCTCACCTCACGTCCCTGATTGCTAAGGGAACACTGATTGCTACCCTCATTCTAGCAAGTTTGTTCATTTTAGATATCCTTGTAGTCTTTGGCAACTTTACCTAATGTCATTTTGGATACATTATAATTTACTGTTTATAACAATACTTATCTCTGTATAACAGTTTATCAGTTAAAAATGCTTTTGTGTATATTTTGACACTTGAATCTCATGATAACCTTGAGAAACAGGAAGTATTTCAGAAAAGGTGCCCCTTTTCTTTCTTTCTCTTTTTTTCTTTTTCTTTCTTTGCAATAACCCGTAGACCATGTCCAAACAAATATTTAGGAAATCATCAGCCAAAGAGCCTCAAAGGACAGTGATACCTTTTGGCATTGTCTTCTATCATGTTCTCCGAAGGGAAAAAAATTTCCGGATTAGAGAGGATAAAATTCTTGAGCAATTGGCCTGATAACATTAATATTACGTCCCCTGTTCTATTGTTTCCTCCCATCCTGCCCAAGTCACTATGGAACTGCCTAAAGGACCCAGATGCTTCTTGTTTGGTTTGGATTTTGAGGCTTAGGACCTTACGTCATTGATAAAAGACAGTTCCCTTGACCTATTTCTCTGACTCTTTTGATGTTGAATTTTCCAGACGCTGATAAACAGGGTAACGTATTTTTATTGCTTCGCTTACATGCCTGGAGTGGAGTCAAACTTTGTTAACCCAATCGTGTAGACAGTCGAGTAGTGGAGGGGAAGAAAAATGTTGGAATTGTTTATGAGAAGCTCTTGCAGAGTTTGTGCAGCGCTTGAAAAGGAATCATAAAAATGCTGATACAATACACTTTCTCCACAAAGACCACAATTAATCCAAACTCCATTTTTTCTTTCCCAGTTTAAAAAAGTTAATAAACTTGAATAGCTTTGTTTCAAACTGCAGAATCATCCTTTCTTCCCACCTCATTTCTTCTCATTTCCCTTTCCTAGATTATTTCATTCCTGTCTGAATAAACCTATTGCTTATTTTTCCTCACATGGCTTTTCTGACTTCCCATAATACTGTCTTTAGATCCATTGGAGTGTAACTTTAGACATAGTTCATCACTGTGCAATAGTATCAGTTTAAGAATTTTTTTAAGTGCATTATTCACTGAATCCAAAAGAACATACAGTTTCTTCAGTTATAAGATGGCTTCATGTCAAAAAGAGTTATAAATTACTCCTACACTTTCAAGGCACCTGGGTGGCTCAATCGGCTCAGCGTCTGCCTTCGGCTCAGGTCATAATCCCAGGGTCCTAGGATAGAGCCCCGAATCCAGCTCCCCACTCAGTGGGGACCTGCTTCTCCCTCTCCCTCATCACCTTCTTCTGCTTGTATTCTCTCTCTCTCTCTCAAATAAATAAATCTTTAAAAAAAATTATTCCTAGACTTTCTCCTGTTAATCCCATTTTTGTGTCCTTAGTTCATTAGAAAACATAAGCCATTTGCTTATTAAAATAGTTTATTTTTAGTAGACCACATTTAGTAAAATAGATCACATAATAGTATAGCATCATCAATGTAATAAATATGAAAATCATAAAGAAACAAAATATCTTCATTTTTTACCTAATGTTACTTTAGTTTAATATTGAGTTAAGGTTGAGATTATGAATAGTTTTCCCTGACAATACTGCTATACTCTTTTTACAGTAAAAAGTTATTCAATTAAAGTATGAGGTCAGCTTCCCAGTTTACTGTATTTATGTAGAGTATAAGTCACAGAAAAATAACCAATTTAATTGAACTTTTTCTTTTTGTTAAGGGTCCAGGATTTATAGCTGCAATGTGGGGTGTCTTCATGTTTAAGGAAATAAAGGTATGTACAAGAAAGGACAAATTTAGAAAACAGGTGTAGAGCCACGTAAGAAAGGTATTTAATACTGTATTTGTGTTATTTTCTGAAAACTGTATGTGATCCCTAAGCCCAGGGCAGAAAACACATGAATGGATTTGACAAATCAGATGTTCCAAATGTTATCATCCCTAACAAGGAAAGAAAATACTGAAGATATGATCAATATTATGAAACATGTTTCTCTCCACCCCAGCCCCCAGTGGGGAAATGCTTTAGTTGACTTTAGTTTCTTTCCCTTAAGAGGTTTTGGTTACATAATCCAATAAAATATGATGGGGGAGATTTTATTTAATGTAAAATATTATAGATAAACAGGATGAAATATTTTTTATCCTAAAGATTAAAATATCCCTGAGGCAAATGGAATTTGTGAATGGATTTTTCTGTTGGTTCTCATGCCTCCCAAAGGCCCCTATATAAAACCAGCAACTTTATAGGAAATTAATATGGTACCAGGTGACTAGGACCACTTCTCTTTCAAGTGTAAATGATGGTGATTTAAAACTGCATTTATTAAATAGCTGTAGGATGTGTGTGTGTGTGTGTGTGTGTGTGTGTGTCTTCATTAAAAAGTATTTTAGGAGCACCTGACTGGCTCAGTCGGTGGAGCTTAGGACTCTTGACCTCGGGGTTATGAGTTCTAGACCCACATTGGGTATAGAGATTGCTTAAAAACAAAATATTTCCCCAAAAGTCTTTATTTTAGAATTTTCCCCACTTATTTTTATTTGAGGAATATATGTGAATAGTATTTTGTAATAGGTTTTACTAAAAATATATATAATTCAGAGATATTTTGTCAAGGTATCATAGACATAATATTTTCTGCCTTCATTCATATGCATCTGTAACAACAAATAATCCCTGGTTCTAAAAAATCTGATGTTCCTAATCTCTGGGAACCAAAAAGCAACCTGTATACCTGGGTAATCCTTAAAATTATTATTCAATTTTATATTTAAAATATCATTTCATTTATTCTGAGTGAAATGTTTTGATTTAGAAAGCTTTAATTTGATAAGATTCTCAAATTTTAAAAAATAGTGAATTTGTTTAGGATTTAGATGCCAGGATCTCAATTTTTGTATTTTTTAAAGTACACAAGGCAACTTAAAACATCTATAAACCCATAAATTACTTCCATACACATTTCTCATTTATTTTAGTTAGGGTAGTTTTCCACAAAAAATAATTCTGTGTCCAAAACATGCCATAATTTCATTGTAAATATTTCATTCACCTCCCAAAGGATAAATGATTACTATTTAGGAATTGGGTATTTATTATCCAGTATAACATCCTGAAGTCCTAGAAAATCACAAGTGAGCATAGCTTATTTGCAATTTCAGGTAAAAAGAAGCACAAACGAAGAATGGATTTAATATAAAGGATTTGAAAATATTTTAGTCACTACTACTGTAATAATGATACGGACTTAGAAATCCTCTTCCCTAGTTACAAGAACTTGAGAGAGAGAACCCCTGGCTATTGAGCTTAGTGTTAATTCCTGAGTCCTCTAAAAAAGACACTAAAAGACATTGAAAGAAAGCTTTTTTTAAAGATAGACTTTAAAAGATAACTCAGACCAAATAGAGAAGGATTTTTTTCTTGATTTTTTATTTATCTATTCATAGAGACACAGAGAGAGAGAGAGGCAGAGACACAGGCAGAGGGAGAAGCAGGCTCCATGCAGGGAGCCTGACCTGGGACTCGATCCAGGGTCTCCAGGATCACGCCCTAGGCTGCAGGTGGCGCTAAGCCGCTGCGCCACCGGGGCTGCCTGAGAAGAATTTTTTTTAATGATAAGCCATGACCAAGGAGGGCTTAATTCTGGAGTACAAGGATAGTTCACAATATGAAAATTGATCAGGGTAATATAATATTAAGTAAACAGAGAAAAACAATGTGATAATATATATTCAAAAAATGTGCTGAAACTAAAAACCAGTTTTTAATTAAGAAAAAAACCTCTTAGAAGTGCTACAAATAGGAGAAAGCTGCCAAAAAACAAGAGCAAACACATAGCTAAGGTGAAACATAAAGGTTCTAAATTACATCTCAATAAGGCTGAGAAAAGAAGTTCTCTGTAAGTTGAAAATCAAAGATATCTCCATCACTGTTATTATTCAGTGTTTTCTGGACATCCTAGCCAGTGTGGTAAAATAAAATTAAGAAAGAAGGAGAAATAGATGTAGGAAAGAAAATGAAAAAACTGTCATTTGCATGTAACATTATCTTCTTTAAAGTGGAGTTTTATCTGAAATTCTGAAAATAAGTCCTAAAGTTTGGCCAAGTACATATGTAAAAATGAAGAAACTGAGGACCAAGCTAAAAGCAAAGACCTTCTGGGCTTAAAAAACAAAAACAAAAACAAAACCTTCTGGACTTAAAAAAAAACAAATTTTTTTTTATTGACCTTCTGGGCATTAAAAAAAAAAACACAAACTTACAAATCTGTCTACAAATAAAAGTTAAGTGTCCAAAAAAAAAAAAAAAGTTAAGTGTCCAGTAAGACTTATCATTCAGTGGAGGTGCCTAATTGCCTCTTAACAGGTGGTTTAAAGGCGAGTTTTAAATACTTTACATGCCAACTAGTTTAAGAAAGAGCTATCAACTAAATACTGAAACCAAAATCCTAGAAGAATTTTTGAAAATAATTTTTCTTAGAAACAAGATAAAACCCTAGAGGAAAACAAAAGCAAAACATGTATCTTTATGACTTTTAGATCCTATCAGTTACATCTTGAAGCATCTTGAAGACACATATTTGAAAGTCTGCAACCTACAGCAGTAAGAACTTAATCTGAGATCCAAGCATTTTTTGTGTAAAGAGTTTGATGATTTCATCGAGTCTTAATGCCATCAGGGCACCAGTTGGAGGCTTTCCATTTCCAATGTTCTTTTATATCTGATATCTATTCGTCTTTAGAAAGTTTGTTTTAGAATTCTACTCCTAGCTATTTTAAGCTAGACATACATTATTATTTTTAGAAACACGCCTTAGTCACAATGTCTACAGAAACACCAATGCAGGGAATTACTACCACGACAATTTATAGGGCGGTAGCTACTCCCAGATAAAGAATGAGATGATCTGCTATCTTAATAGCTGCTTCAGAAATCTGAGTTAAAAACTTTTCGCTTTGGGGAGAATGTTAGCATGAACTTTCTAAGCATTAAGATTCACATTTGACAAAGGGAAACTGTTGCTACTGCCCAAATATCATTGGTCTTTGTCCTTGTGAGACTAGGCAGGTTCTTAACCTCCTCTAAACCTAGGAGGCAGACAGATTCTTAACCTTAAAGGGGAAAAATATTTTACTCTCTGAGGACATTATTCTTATCTACATAGACAATAAAGGAGAGGGGTCAGCAAAGTATTCACACAATCGGGTTATAGAGTGCTGATAACTGAGTACCCATATGTTGTTTTTTTCTTATTTAAGCCATTGTATCAATTGTCTAATTCACAAAGGACATTTAGAAATCACCTGATTGTCACTCATTGAGCAACTATTTGAGTGCCTTCTCTCCATCAGGGCTGGTATCTGCAGTCTTTAGAACTGATAATATGTCAGAGAACCTTAAAGCCTTAGCAGGAGTGTGTGTGTGTGTGTGTGTGTGTGTGTGTGTGTGTGTGTGTGTGTGTAAAAGCTGTTCTGTGCTTGACGAGGCTTTGTGGTGCTGTCTTTCGTCTGTGGAACTCGTGTTAGAGTGACTTCTGGTAGGATTCACACTCACAGTGAATCAGAAATTTCAGTTGGCTCCGACCCAACTTACAAACAACCTCCCTCTCTGGTCATCAAATAGAGATCATTCAATCCATTCTATCCCAATTCTTTATGAAATTGAGGAAAGAAGATATATGCCTTTTAGAATTTTGGCTGTGTGTTAATTGGCATTAATTTTAAGAGCTGATATTAATATTATATGATCTGTCAGGAGATCTCAATGTGGTTTTAGAATTTATATCTCAAGTTAGGGAGATGCTGGCCGGTTAGGCATCCAACTCTGGATTTCTGCTCAGATCATGATCTCAGGGTCGTGAGCTGGAGCCTAGCAGTTGTGCTCAATCTTTTTGAGATTTTTTTCTTTCCCTCTGTCTCTCCCCCCCAAAATAAATAAATAAATCTTTTTTAAAAAAGGTATTTCTTTGTTACTCAAAGATGGACTGGCTTCATTGGGAACTGGTTGTCAGTGTTTCCCATCTTTAAGACCAGTACACCTACCCATGGCTGGGCAAGACAAACTTAGTCTCTGTTTCTTCCTCACCATTCAGATCCATCTCTGTCTCTCCATCTGCACCTCATCATCTGTGCCCAGGAAGACTGTAGTCGCCTCCTTAATCATCTCCTTGCATCCATTCTGGACCCCTCCAATCTGTTCACCATCTGCAAAAAAAAGTGTGGGCTTTATGAAATGTGAATCCCATCTTTTCACCACATCCAGCAGCCTGTTTCCTTAATGTCTTCCCATTCCTCGGAAAAATAAAACCCCACAGTGTCCGTGGCCTATGAGATCCCCGTAAGCTCGGGCCATAGCTCTCCAACCTGGTTTTGCTCCACTTAACTCTCGATGCTGTGGTCACACTGACTTCCTTTCCATCCCTGGCAAGTATCACACTTTTCTATTACAACAGAGTTTTGCACACAAAATTCCTTCTACCTGGAATGCCTACCTGTTCCCCTGCCCAATTAATTGGTACTTACAGTTAGAAGCTTAATTTCTCACCCTCCAAACCAGCCTCACTAAGATTCCTTTGTAACACACCCCAAAAGCGATCATGGTCGTTTACTCATTAACACCCCTCTTGCTTTGTAACATTCTTTTCTGTGATTATTAACTTCTGTCTCCCATATTATACATTTATCTGAATAAGCACGCATTTTGCTCACCATTCTAACCCCAGCACATGTTGATGCAAAATGAGTGTTCACATGCATTTACTGAGTGAGTGAATTAGTAAGGTTCTGATGGGTTTTCAAGAAAATCTGGATGTTTATTTGGAGGGATAGCAAAAGGCATACAGGTGGCTGGAGCAGATGGTTAGTAAGGTCCCTAGCAATTTGGACATTCTGCATGTTTGCTTCAGATTTTCTTAACTACACTTACTTTTTTTTTTTTTTAATTATTCAGGGTCTACAAAACTACCTATTGATGATATTTGCATTTTGCATCATCTTGACCGGAGCATTATGCACGGCTTTCTCTAAAGTCTAACAATCCCAAGACCAGCAGATGGCAGCAGTGGGCAAGAGGACACTGCTGCAGGACTGGGCCCGATTATGCTGAGAACAGAGTTCATTTTCATACAGCAAATGGATCTCTACCCGTCTTGGACTGGGTAAATGATTTTTTTTCACAAATGTAAGAATAAAGGAAAACTAAGTCTCAGTCAAGTATAAAAATGAAAAATTCTTCTAATGAACTGTTTATGAAGGTAAGACTTCACCAGGTGGCTAAAATGTCTTCATTCTTACAGCATCATCTGAGAGTGCTCCTTTTACCACAATGTGCACTCGGTCTTGAGCAAGCTGCAAAACACTGAGGGGCTCACATACACAGAGAATTTTTGTACATGTCCAAGTTTCCAACATATTGCCCTCATTACTGAAGAGAGGCAGAAAAATGTTGGGGAGAGACATGGGGAGTCAGATGTCTGGATCCTTTGCCAGAGAAAGTAAATGTCAGAGTTGGTAACTGGGTATTAAAAAGGCCATTTCATTTTTAGGCCAAATTTATCTTTACTTCAAATTAATATTGTCCAACTCTACATCCTCCACTCATGCTAACTCAAAATGCTTTTCTCTCCAGATAAAATCCATCTTCAGAGAACAAAAAGTTCCAGCCATTGAGAATATGTGTATAACACATATACAGACATATATAGGTACACAGTCATGAACAGACACACATATGTCTGCATGATTCCAAACTTGGGGGAAATTCTAGAGTTGCTCCAGCAAGGGTCTAGCTTATCAAAGTAAGAATTTACAGGGACCGAACATACATCCTTTGTATGTAAAATTTATTATTTTTTTCTGAAATATACTTTTCTAAAATCCCTCTTTAAACTGGAAGTTTTCGTCCTGTTCTAAATGGTGGATTCCATTAGGTAAAAAAAAAAAATAACGGCATGTTATTTATATATATATATATATTCGGAAGAGATAGAATAGCATTCTGCATAAGTGTATGCACTCTGGCACTAACCCAAATGGATAGAAATCTTCATCTTAATTATATGACTTCGAAGAAGTTCCTGAGCCTCCTGTATCAGATTGCTCATCCATAAAATGGACATAATGATAATGATCATGATCATGGTTATTGCAAGGTTCAAATTAATCAAAATCTGTAACATAAAAAAAATCTGTAACATATGTTGAGTGTCTGGCACTTGGCGAACTGTATAATTTTTAGCTATTATTGTTATCTACTGTTTGAGAAGGAAAACCTGTCTATAGGTTGGAGAATATTTTGTAGGAGCTACTGCCCTCACCACCAGCCCATCCAGACACTTAAAATTCATTCCTCTATTTGAGTGCAATTTAAAAAATGATACTAGAGTCTCTATTTCATTATTGAATTCTTTGATTGTAACACCTTACAAAAATTCATTCTAATTTTAACTTGAAATACCATTATTTTGATAACTTTAAATAAATTGACACTATGCAAAAACTAGTTTTCTTAAGTATATTTTCAAATTTCATATTGATAGCATTTAATTATTCTGTAGTTGAGATGGCCAATTTATATGCAAAATTTTAAATGTGAAGCAAAGCAATTGAGGAAGAAAAATGAAAAACAAATCTTATTACCACTATACAGTCTCTGCCACCACACAATGCCTTTGGTGTTAGGAAGAGGTAAGAGTAGAGTGGGGGGGGGGAGGAAACAAGCTTTTCCAAATGGTTACCATGGAAAACACATGCTATGCAGAGGTTAGTCTAAACAAATGATTACCAAATCTCCACTTTCTTTGCTCAGTTTAGGAAGTTAATACCTATCTCTCTAAAAGTTTTGAGGCATTATGTTTCCTTGTCTGGTATGGTCAAATTCTTGTGTTTTCACTTTTTCTCATTTCGCTGTCTCTAAGTACAGAGAAGGCACTACCCAATAGGGAAATGGCCACCCAGTGAGGCTGGCATCCGGATTATGGGAATGGCTTATTATCAGAATAAAAACTCCTAATTCCTTAAAATTCTTAATGAGTTTCATAGAATAGTACAGCATTTTCCTACCAAATCTCCATTTATTCCTATTATATTCATTTATTTGTACTTAGAGTTGCTAAGTACTAGACCTATATGTATCAATATTGGTGAGCTGGAAAACACGTTGAATTAAAAAGATAAGTTGTAGAGCCATGTGCACACTATGATACCCTTTAGGCAAATTTTTAGGAATCAAGATAACATATACTTTTTCGATAAATGCCTATCTATGCAAAAACCAGAAAAATACATATACAAAGCTCATAATAATGTTTGCCTCTAGTGAGAATAAATGAGATCAGAATGGCAACACTGCGGTCAATGTGAGCTTGAACATTATCTATAATACTCTAATTTTTATGGCAATGAATTCATATACTTGTTCTTTAATATGTGTTAAAGAATCAACAGCAGAAGAGCTCAGGACATGTGTCTAAATGTTAAAGTAATTAAATCTAGGTAAACAGAATATGGCTGAATGTTATTTTCCTCTTTATCTAATACTTTTTAATTTCAAAGCAATCATGCACACACACGAATGAAAAACACAGAGATTAAGGCAAAGTTGGGAAATTTTCCAACTTAAAAGTGCCACCTTCTAAAGGTAGGATTTAGAAACACTTTTCTAGTCTCCCTTGCAGTAGGATGTGTCGTTCCTGATTATGTGGCCTCCAAGGTCAATTCCATGGTCCTGCTAGAGATTCTGTGAGCTGCCTAATACTTGTTTCAGAAATTTGGCCTCATTAATACAAAAAACAAAAACACCCACAAATCTAGCCTATTTTAACCACCTTTAATGAGGTGTGATTTGCATCCAATAAAATTCTCCCAATCAGGTGGACAATGTTATGAGCAAATATGTACACTCATGTAATCACCACTACAACCTAGATACAGAACATTTCCAGTGAAATGTTCCCTTCTGCTTCCTTGTAGTTAACCCCAAACTACCAGTAATTTATTTTCTGTCATTCTAGAATGCTTTTGCCCCTTCTAAAATTTCACATAAATGGAATTATATAGTATAGACCTTTTTGTGTATGATTTCTTTTATCTTATAGCTACTTTTAAACTATATGATCTAAAACAATTATAATTCATTATTAATTTATTAACTTAATTATTAATTTATTAATTGTTTTAATGATTATTAATTTAATAATTATTTTCTTTAGTGGAAGAAAACATATATGTCTATTCAAGATGACAACTAAAGGAAAAATGATTAACATTTGGAATTGTTATATTTAAGTATGTGATGTGTCTTGTTCCACAAAATCATGGTTTTAAATTAATTTAAAAAATTCTTAGGGACCCTCTGAGTCCATCTTCAGTCTATAATGTTTTCTTTTGAGGGGGCTATTAAATACTAAGCTGCTTAAACTAGATCCCCTCCATTTTCTATATTTTTAAAAAAGTGTATATTCTTGGATTTCCTTCAACTATCAAATTGAAGGATAGTTGGGGCTGCAAAGTGTGAATTTGCATTTTTTTACAAGTACTCTTGGTAGTTCTTTTTTTTTTAATAAATTAATTTTATTGGTGTTCAATTTACCAACATACAGAATAACACCCAGTGCTCATCCCGTCAAGTGTCCCCCTCAGTGCCCGTCACCCATTCACCCCCACCCCCGCCCTCCTCCCCTTCTACCACCCCTAGTTCGTTTCTACTCTTGGTAGTTCTTATCACACTTGTGCTCTAAATTTTTTAAATTTGTGACTTATATTTTGCTATTTAAAATATTTCAAAGAGCTAGGCTATGAAAAAATAAAATTCTCTCTCTACTCCTAAAGAGAGTGAAAGAAAATAAAAGAACAGGTATCCATTTAACTTTACAAAGACTTTTGGGAGAAAAAATGAAATGCTTAAAACCAATCTGTTTAAATGGAATTATTTTAAAAAATAAAATAAAAAATAATAATAAATGGAATTATTTGACAAAAAAACAGTGACAATATAACTGAATATCATATTGTCTTTTTGGTCAAACCACTTAACTTCCACATGAATTATTTCTATAATTCATATCTGTTTTTTTGGTCAAACCACTTAACTTCCACATTAATTATTTCTATAATTCATATCTATATGAATCTTTTCATATCTATATCTGTCATGATGTCCACTTTCTCATTCCTAATATTGGTAATTTGTTTCTTCTCTTGTTATGAACATTCTAGCTAAAGGTTTATCGATTTTATTCATCTATTCTACAAACTAGCTCTAGATTTACTTGAGTTTTCCCTATTGTGTTTTTCTCTTCAATTTTATTGATTTTTCTTCTCTACTATTTGTTCTGTTTCTTGTAAGTTTTTAACTGGCTCTTATTCTCTATCCCCTTTCTCTTTTTCTAGGTCTCCAATTATACACACATCTATTCTACCTGCCTTGACCTTCCCAAATTCTTATTTCTATCTACTCAACTCAGGGAAGGCTTCTGAACTCTGTGTTCCTTCTTACTGTACTGCAGCCTCCAAATTCTTACCTAGGCAGTAAAATTGAAAAATTATAGTGCTCAACTTATTTTTTTTTCCCCTTCTGACAGGGATCATGGTCATGTCCTGCCTGTGGCCCAGTGTTCCATACATTTTACACATTTTGCTATTTCTTTAATGTTTAAGGATTAATATGGTTCCTGTTACTCCCCATCTTTGCCAGAAGTAGAAATCCTCTGATTAGCATTTTGTTACATTTTAATTTTAAGTTCTCTTTTGTCACATTTTCGTGAACAGCAACATCAAAGAATAATTCAGCATTGTAGTTGATTCCATATAGCTCCCCAAAAAATATATCTAGGTCCTAACTTCCAGCAACTATGAGTATGACCTTATTTGGAAATAGGGTCCTTGCAGATGCAATTAAATTATGGATCTTAAAATGTGATCATCTTGGATTTAGGAGGGACTCAAAATCCAATGACTAGTATCCTTATAAGAAAAAGGAAAGATATTTGATTGAAAGAGAAGAAGGTCACATGAAGATGAAGGCAGAGATTGGTGTAATGTAACTATAAGCCAAGGAATACCAAGGATTGTGGAAAGCCACTAGAAGCTAGGAAACAGGCATGGAAGGGGATTCTCCTTCAGATTCCCTAGAAGGAACCAACCTTGACAGGCTTTTAGCCACTGACTGTGAAGAAATATATTTCCATTGTTTTAAGCCATCAAGTTTGTGGTAATTTATTGTCCCACCCCTAGGAAACTAATCCAACGAACATACAAAATAAGACGCACGAATGGAACCCATAACCTTTAATACTGCCAATACTACTCAGATAAAAGTGTTGGCTCAGTTGCAAAGCAAATATAGAGTAAGAAAAATTACATGTTGTGAAGGTCTCAAAAGTAGCTTTTTGTCTTGACAATTTAGTACTTCATCTTTAGATAGTACAGGATGGGGCATACCTCTCTTCCTGTTTAAAATGAAATAGAATAAGTCAAGTGATTTTTGTTTGTTTGTTTTTAAGAAATAAATGAACCAGATGACCTGGAATGTTGTAGAAAGCATTTTAGGCACATATCTCTCTATAGAAAAGGTTTGGCAGGAATTAGATAAAGGAGTAGGAATTTTTTTAAGTTTCTTGATACTAACAGGAAGATTCTTCTAGCAAACAAAGGACATCAGAGCTAACTCGGTTGTTTTTTAGCTACTGAAGTCCTTATTGGTAATGCATCTCATTTTTTTATTGAAGACACTCTCTCTGGACAACAGTTAAACTCCTATCTTTTTGGTGGCGTCTTTGTCTGATTTGGGAATTGAGGTAATGCTGGCCTCATAGAAAGAGTTTGGAAGTTTTCCTTCCATTTCTATTTGTTGAAACTGCTTCAGAAGAATTAGGTTTTAATTCTTTAAATGTTCGGTAGAATTCCCCTGGGAAGCTGTCCAGCCCTGGACTCTTGTTTGTTGGGAGGTTTTTGATTACTGCTTCAATTTCCTTGCTGGTTAGGGGTCTGTTCAGATTTTCCATTTCTTCCTATTTCAGTTTTGATAGTTTATATGTATCTAGGAATACATCCACCTCTTCCAGATTGCCCACTTCGTTGGCATATAGTTGCTCAAAATATGTTCCTATCATTATTTGTATTTCTTTGGTGTTGATTGTGATCTCTCCACTTTCATTCACGATTTTATTTATTTGAGATCACCTCATACCAGTCAGAATGGCTAAAATGAACAAGTCAGGAAATGACAGGTGTTGGCAAAGATGTGGAGAAAATGGAACTCCCTTACACTGTTGGTAGGAATATAAGTTGGTGCAGCCACTCTGCAAAACAGCATGGAATTTTTTTAAAAAGTTGAAAATAGAGTTACCCTGCAACGCAGCAATTGCACTATTGGGTATTTATCCCAAAGATACAAATGTTGTGATCCAAAGGGGCACTTGCACCCCAATGTTTACAGCAGCAATGTCCACAATAGCCAAACTACGGAAAAAGCCCAGATGTCCATCAACAGATGAATGGATAAAGATGATGTGGGATATGTATATACAATGGAATATTACTCAACCATCAAAAACAATGAAGTCTTGCCATTTGCAATGACGTGGATGGAACTAGAGGATAGTGTGCTAAGTGAAATAAGTCAATCAGAGAAAGACAATTATCATACGA